TTCACTTCTCCATTCTTAAAAACCAAAACAGCATTGGAACAAAGCCATGACCTTATGTAGAAGTCATCACTGGCTGCAGATGGATGTTTCAGTTTTCAGTTTTGAATTTTGTCCCACTCCTGACATGTCACTAGAAACCCCATTAGGGGCAGCTGCAGTATCCTCCAAAGAGAAGTGACTATATTCAGAAACCTGTAGCATAAAGTAATTTCATAATTGGGCAGGTAACACATTTTGGTTGCCTTCCCTTGCACTTTTCATGCAATCTTGGACAATTCCATAAAGCCAGCATTTACACAGCTACTGTGGATTGGCATCACTGTCCCCAAGAAAACTGACAGCTTTCTCCAGTACTAAACTGCTTTTAGGGACCCACAATTTTACGCCAGCTAGGGAGGGCGTCTGTATGATTCTGTGTACTAACACCTTGAGATACACATGATATATTTTATAACCCTTAAATGCAACATGAGAGGGCTTTAGAGGACATGATGAGAAACTCTGGGTTAGAGGAAAACATAATTATTTTAATCTAAAAAAAGCATCTTCACTCCCTCATACCAACAAAAATCATAACCTGACACCAAACAGGATTCCTTCTTAAGAGACTAAAATCACCTTCAGAAAATAAAATTTAAAAAATGAAAAATAAAATAAAAACTAAATGTTTTCTAACTATCTGTTAGGATCTATGGAAAGCTGGAATATTTTGCAAGGGCTGGCACTTACCCAGACTGACCTAAAATTTTGTTTTAATAGCATTGACCCTGTAATACTGCATGACAGAACAGCATTCTAAAAGACTGCTGTATAGAATTTGATCTCTGAAGTACTTAGAATTAAAATGAAAATTTGACCTTCACAATTTTAAGGAAAACCATCCTTCATCAGAGATAGTTAATGTGTATTTTGGCCAGAGTTGGAAGGACAAATAATTTCACTCAAGACCATCTAAATGAAATAAAAGTAGAAATAAAGTATTTTAGGGGCAATTCAAATAATAATAATAATTAAAAAAAGATAGTATGAGTCCTGATAGAAAGACAAGTAATAAATCGCACAGGTTTTTTTATGTCTTGCTGAATTTATTAGGAAATTAAGATGGTCCATTTGGATATGTAATGATTTTTCAATAGGTAATTGAAGGGGATTATCAAGAAGTATAACTAAACACATTTTTCCTCTATCATACAGATGACTGCTAGTTAGCTAAAAAATCCCTTCTGTCAGAAAAGATACTTAAACAAACACAACTTCCCAAACAGAAAGAGACATATCTATTTTAAATCACTCAATACTTCCTTGTATAAACACAACACACAAAGCATTTCTTTGGCTATCTATTCAGTGCCCACAGCTATTCACCGCTACTATACTTTAAGCTGCTGCTCAGGAACAGCAGCAGGAGTTTAGGCAAAAGAGACTCAGTTAGGAAGCAGCAAGAAGCAACCGCTCATCCAAGAAGGCAGGTGGCAACAGTCTGCTTCAGTGCGGAGCTTCAGTGACCCCTAATGGACAGTCTCCACCGGTGCGCCTGCCCTGGCAGGAAATCCAAGCCATGCCCTAAAAGCTCAGTGCTCCAAACTTCTCATTTCAGCCTAATATGATCACTGCCACTTCGGCTTTTCCTTATTTAGTGTGACAATATTTATAACTCACGCTCAAGATCAGTGAACCTGCTAGGATGTCACTTCTGTATTTTTACCATTTGAAATGTTCTAAGCCAGGTGGAAGAGAAAGGTAAAACACAGAATGTTTGGGTCAGAAGAGACCTTTGAAGTTCATATAGTTCTAACCCTCCTGCCATCACCAGAGATATGTCGCACTAGACCAGGCTGCTCAAAGCCTCATCCAACCTGGCCTTGAACACTGGCAACGATGGGGCATCCACAACTTCCCTGGACAACCTATTCCGGTATCTCACAACCCTCACAGGAAAGAATTTCTTCCTAACGTTAAGGTCTAACATCTGAAATCGACCCATTTACACTATTTTAAAAGGAAGACTTCCAATCAGCACAATCAAGAATCCATATAAACAAGAGTAGTGATGTGAAAGACACAGTCTTCCTGCCTTTTCTCCCCAAAGTGAGACCGTATCTACAATGAGCCATCTTTGTTACACGGAAAAATGATTCTTTGCTTCAGCAAAACTACCACTGAATGAAAAACAGCCAACACAGGAAGACAGAATGAATTATTGCTGGTTTCTTTTTCATGCCAATTCTTTTTCTCTTTCGCAAACTGCAGAGACGAACTCATGTGAATCAACTCCCACTACAGGAAAGCAACCAAGCTGAAGTGGGCTGCATTCTGAACTCCTCTTCTGGAGGTTTTTGTTCACATTCTTTCTTTACTAGCTTGGTTGCTTTGTTCCCCTTTTCCTAAACACCTTACTTTCCTTCCCACCTCAGAAATGTACCTGCTATAAATCTTCCAGTCTCAGCGAGATTTTGACACAAACAGGTGAAGGCACTGAACAGAAGGATCACAGAGCTGACACTAGCACTGACAGTGCACAGAACAGCCCTATTTAGACAAGTCTCTAAACCAACCACTGGCTTCCAAGGCTAATTGGATTAACTAGAAGTCCTTGACCAATTCAGAAGGATCTACCAAATTCCCAATCCTGCTTAAATCTAGCACTCTAAGCGATCAGTTTGTGGTATCACTTTCACAAATAATACTGATAAAAGGAAAACCAATTAAGGCAAACTCTTCACTGTCAGAAATTCCTGCCCCTTCAGTGCAGTGACATAAGTAACACATTAAATTGTATGAGGGAAGGCTGGAAGGACACAAACATGCAGCAGTTTGTTTTAGCAAGTCACCATATCCTAGCTTTTAGCTTCCAGTCTTTTTTTCCTCCTCATCCTCCTTCCTCAGAAGTATCAAGCCTTGATATTAATTGCGTATCCCTGCTCTGAAGGAGCAGAATATCTGATGAAAGGAAGATGTGACTGTCACTATTCCTCTACTGCACACAGCATAACAGTGTATAATTCAAAAAGTCCTTGTACACCAGTGGTTTTCAGCCTTTTCTGTATCACGATTATCACACAAGATAAATTTCCAGTTTTCCTACTTCCCTTCTGTTCACTTAAGAATAAATTATCTGTTAACTCAACCTGCTGGTCGAATATAGGAAGATCTAAAACTTTATGGACATAATCAAATACTGTATCAGTCTCTTGATAGAGCTTGGTACAGAATGCAGTGCTAACTGGTCATACTGCTGAAACTGTGCCATTTCAAGAATTCACTGGGATAAATCCTAACCACACTGAAATCAGTGGCAAATGACAATTCAATGGCCATGATCTATCTACCATTATTTCATGAAAGTCAAGAAATCACCACTACTTTGGAGCAGATGTTACTGTCCTATTTCTGACACTCCTGTGATTTCTGCTTGCCATGCCTGCTTATCAAAAGATATGCCCGTGTATTTTCTCCATCATGAAAAAACTGCCAGGGACTAAAGGACCCCACAGCATCTGATGAGTTTAGTGGTAAAGCATGTTTGGTATTAGAAGAAACAGTTGCCCCTCACATCCTGAAGAGTAGGAACAGGCTCCTCTTCACCAGGGCTCCTAAATAACAGAGATCTGCTAACAGAACATCAAACAGATTTGCAGCTGCAGTTACTGCTGCTCTTCCCCTTTTTTCATCCTGTGATCTCTCAGTGGTTGTGCAGACCATTCAAACAGTCCATCATTAGATGTCAAGAAGGGTTGGGCTCACAGATGAACTTTCAGATGCAGCAACAGAGCACCAAGAATAATTTTATCCCCACCCATCTTTCCACACCCCACTGCAAATGCCTGCTAGGTGGAGCAAAGACACAAATGAGGCTTTTTTTTTTTTTTTACTCGTAAAAGTTGCAGAGATAAATTAAGAGAAAAAACCATCTTCAGTCTCATAGTATAATGGATACAAAGAAAACAGGTTTCCTGAACTTTTTATGATTTTCAATGAATATTCAAATACATTCAAGCATTTTTACATAAATATGTATTTCTTAAATGCAATCTTTTAAAATTTTTTGGTACAAGAGACTGGGATTCCAATCTACCTATATACAAACAGCACAGAATTACAAGAAAATGTATCTAAGCCAAATGTCTTAAATTTCATTAAATTCAAAAACTGTAGGAAAAAAAAATCACAAGTTTCTAAGTACAAATAAAACCAAATCAGCTATAATAAAATGGCTGTCTAGTTAAAACTAATTTTCCATAATTTTCCCTTCCTTGCTATTGCCCACAGTACCAGAAAAACAGAAATCCTACAAGTGCTTTAGAAATTTGATTTTATCTTACCAATATGATAGTAAACTGTAAGTTTACTACCTAAAAAAGCAAACCATTTAGGCACAAGGTGGCAGAAGACATAAGCACAAATACCAACCATGCTTCCATAGTTTGTCAGTTGAAATCCAGGTGTCCTAAAGACCTGCATGGTATTATAATCAGAATGTCAGAGCTTACTCTGTGAAGTAAAGGCTCATTTTTTTATTTTTTTTTTATGTTAACAGTTTGTTGTGTCTTTTTTTCCTTCCTGAAAACAGAGAGAAGCTACTTAAGTCAGTGGTATACCTTACTGGTCAGTGCCAGTGTTCTGGCTACAAGAGTGGCAAAAGTGACAAAATAGGGTCCAGCACCAGAGAATGAGAAGTAGAGAAGCTGCAGTGTGAAAAAGACTGGTTCATACTTGTGTTGGCAGTGTAATTAATAGTTTGGTGACCACCTGCTAAGATAGCATGACAAGCAGTCACATGCTATTTGAAGATAACAGCTGGGCTAGGTCATCAGCTGCTCTCCAACAGAGCAGTGATCAAGGTGAAGAACTGATGTCTGCTACTCTTCTAACTCCACCTAAAGGAACTGTCAAACTGAAAATTAAATCATAAAAAAATTAAAACAAGTGTTTTGTATTCCAGATTCTATCTTTTACCCATCATTTCATACTTGTCATTCTAATAACAGGTGCAGTTCCACTGTCATTCATAAATACAAAATTTTATTTGCACTTCATTAGTTTAGAAAGACCACAATGTTTTTCAATACCACAACATTCAGGACACACCAAGTTATTCAAATATGTAACTACTGATTTACCACAGCTTAACTAAACAGTGCATTTTAATAAAAGATATTCCAAAGATATAATTCACAAATTCATTATCAGACAAAAATCTAACACAGTATTTGCTTAATGGGAATAATTTCCACCATTAGGAAAAGAAAATAATTTTACTTTAGGATCCCTTCCCCCCAGCCTACAGATGTCCAGACAAATACACATATATATTCCTTAACGTATCTTATTTTTTTTAAAAAAAAGAATTTGTCTAGGACAGCAGCATTGCTTTTTATACCTTCTTCTAGAGCTTGAATATATCTCCATTATTTTAGTGAAACTTAATGATTCTTGCAACCAAGGTTATGCTTACACAGAAAATTATATATGCTACTTCAGAGTGCAATCTTAGACCTGCACCAGATGTGATGTCTAGGTATACAAATAAAAGGGTGCAGCATTAAACAAAATAAATAAGACTGCCAAAAATTAAACTTAGCTTTTCAATAAATCCAGTCAGCAGAGGATGCTACAGCCAAAAATGTCTTCACTACATTGAAAAGAAACATAATGCTGATTATGAAAGCTTTGTACATAAAGTCCTCCATTTTTAAAAAAATTGTCTTTAAAATAGTTAGCAAAGCACCATATACTTGTCTTCATACCAGAAGAGCTTCTGCCTGCCTGTTTAAAATAACAAGAACTATTACAACATTTATGTCAAGAATAGGTATAGTTTTAATTTCTCCTCCTCCTCGACTGGAAGTGTGCTAAACCCCCACCGATTGTACAGTATTTATAACACTGGGGCAATCAATGAAACATCATTGTGAGGGAGAGGGATAATAATTAAATGTTTTAGCTGAATCCTACACAGGATTGCATATTTGCATATTTACAAGTTAGTGTGTAGCTCTGACTCGAATAACAAAGTGCAACAAGGAACTGCCAAATGATTGTAGTGCAGAGTAGTACAGATACTTTCTTTACCCTCCCACACCCATTTTTCACTCTGTATGGAGTAACAAGTCAACAGCAACGGACATGTGGCCTTGGAGGAGGCAGTTCTGGTGGGATTTCTGGCTCTGGTTGCAGGGACAGGATACTGTTGGACAACTCATTTCTTATAACATCCAGTGGCATCTTAAAGAAAAGAAAAATCACCTGTAAACATTCTGCATAGAACTCTGCACAAAGAGTTTGTTTCAAGAGTTCATTCTCAGCCAAAGCCTCAATTTAAGGATCTTTTGGTTCTTATTTTTGGTTCTTATTAATGAACTACATTTGAGCAAGCTTTTCTTTCAGAAAAAATTACAAGAGATTGTCAAAATAAAGCCAATTCCTAAATCAATTACAACAAATTACAACAGAACTGCCCACAAATCAAAGCAAGCAGAGGTACAGTCAAGATGCTGATAGATAGTGAAATCACAGGAAAGAGAAGTATAGCAAATGGGAGCAGATGCTTATAAAATTCAAATGCAATGTTCATTAACTGAAGTGTTCAGCAGAGTCTGTGAACTACATCATGTCCACTATTATTAAACAAAAATTTCACTTGACACTGTGGACTCATCCTCTACGTCCTTCTAACAAGCACCTGCAGTCATTATTTATACAATGACCATTTATTTGTGGCCAGAGGAACTACCACCTAAATATTTTACCTTTTTCAGAATGTCATCAACAAGTTTTAGAAATATTTCATCCACATTAAAATTATCCTTGGCACTGGCTTCACAGAACCGCATCCCAGTTATTTGCTGTGCAAACTGATGGAAGAGAAAATAAATTAACTACGTGAAGATAAGCACAAACAGCAACAAACAGCAAATATAAACTCCTCACAAAACCTTTAAAAAACTCCCACAACTTTCCCCAAATCTGTGACTGAAGTCTAATTCAACTAATGACCCTGACTCTCCAAGGTATACCAAATGTTGCCACATATAGCTGATTTTCACTTAAAATTGATTTACTGGAAAAGTGAGCTGCATTTTTCCAGACTTAAATTTGAGTTGTCACGGATTGCTGCAAATTGCCAAAAACTAAGAAAGTTTCTGAAGAAAATCAGATCTCAACCTTATTAATTAAAAAAAAAAAAAAAAGGGAAACACCAGACTTAAATTTGAGTTGTCACGGATTGCTGCAAATTGCCAAAAACTAAGAAAGTTTCTGAAGAAAATCAGATCTCAACCTTATTAATAAAAAAAAAAAAGGGAAACGCAGATGTAAGAACTAGCCTTGACTCTCCAACAGAAAATGCTTTGCTTCCCAAATGGTAGCTGAAGGAAAATATTTGTATATGTCCATAGTGATAGTGCCCTGATAAAGATGGTGCTATGAGTGTTAAGCTAAAGCATTTTCTCCTGTCATGTTCCTTACCACTTTTGGAGTTGGAAGAGAACAAAATAAACATGGAAACAAAGGTAAGCTAAGTAATCCAGCAGGGCTGTTGCCTATCCTAAAATAACACTGAAGAGTAAATATCTAGAAGAAGGCTCACAAGGGTGTCCTGAGTAGTAGTGTCTCTATTTGTGAGTCAATATCCTCCTTCAGAACCCACAAAAGGGTATCCTCTGCACTACTCTGTAGCCTAAGTCAACTTGTAGTTCATTATTTCTTTAGAGCAAAGACATACTCCAGCAGCAAAGCATGCAACTGCACATTCTGTAAAAGTAAATGCAACATGAATTTTGACGGAACAGCACCACTTTCAATAGCTCTTTAGATCTAGCAGTCTGACCAGGAGGAGCCAAGGACCCACAGCAGCAATGCCACAGCAGTTCTGCTTCTAATACTAAGAATTTGGTTTGACCTGTTCTTACCTTTTCTCCCTGTTGCCGACTAATTTCTCGATCAACTTCACAGTCCAGTTTATTTCCAACTAATAGAAGCTCAGCATCTTCTGAAGCATACTGCAGTTAAAACATTTTTAATTTATTAAATCTAGATACGTAAGATCTTGTAACACCAACATAATATCAAAAAGAGCAATTTATCTACTAAATAAGGAGCCACACCTACACATCTTATTTGTGAAAGCTCTTCCCAAACATTAATTAAAAAATTCTCACCTTCATATTTTAAATTCCATTTTTAAAGCATGACTTGAGAACTAGCTGATCTAGTTTATCCAAGAATGAACATAATGACTGTTCCACAGACTGGAAATAAAAACTTTTTTTTCTCCTCCAGTAGACAGATAAATCAGTAACATCACAGATTTCTACTGAGCCTTTTATCTAGGACAATTCTAGTTCATTGAAGGAGGAACTGACACCATTTTGCAACAAAAACACTTAATGTTAAATCCTGGCCAAAAAAAAAATCCAGTGAAAATTAATTTGCATTAGTTTAATAATGTTACATCAATGCTGCTAAAAGTTCTACAGAATACCTTTGAAGGAATAAGTTGCTTCTTAAAAAAAATAATAAAAAGAAAGCACTTAAAAAGGCCTACCTTATCAATCATTTTCATCCATTTTGGTAAATCGTCGAATGTTTCCTTCTTGGTGATATCATACACCAAAATAATTCCCTTGGCACTTCTGTAATAAGCTGAGGTAATGCTGTTGAATCTCTCCTGACCTGCTGTGTCCCTAAGAAGCAGCAGCAAACATTGGCACAAATATTTCACCAATTTGCAAAGTACAGAACAACTTTGTTTACATCTCAATAAGAACACCCCCACACTCATTAGACACTATGTTGAACAATTCCTCTATATGTGTGAATTTCATAAAAAAAAAAAATTAATGGAGCAGTACTTTTAATCATAAAAAGTTATTGTATCAGGACTACTTATCCCCTACTAACTTCACCAAGAAAGGCCACCAGACAGTTCTGAGATGTCTGAGAATGAAGGTGTCCAATGAGAACATACCACCAGAAGCTGGTTTTGCTTTGTTGGGGTTTGATAGTGTTGGGGCTTTTTTGTGTGTTTGGTTTTTTTATTTAAATAGCCTTGAAAAAATGAAAAGGATATGGATACATGCTTATCAAACACAGCTGGACACCCAACTATAAAATGAGCAATGCACTTATCATTACGATTCAAGTTTTCACAGCCTTTTTGGATCAAACACAGCAGTTCAGCCATGGATCTGAAACTAATGCAGAACTACTGGGAGAAGTGAATGAACAGAGTAAGCAACTACTATGTGCTTTGTGTTTTGAAAATAGATACCTGATTTTATGCTTACATCTACAAATCTGAGGTGCTTGAGTAACATTTCCATTCTCACTTTCAGCACTGTAGATATTTCAGGCAGGGTGTATTTACACTGGAGACTATTTTCCAGCACTGACACCATGTCTCCTGTACTAGTGATGGTTTATATTCCAAAGTAAACGAGACAGAAGGGTTATTTTTTACTGAACCATGAAAACCTGTGAACTGCTTTTAACCATATCATCAAGCCAGCTTATGGAAGATTTTTGGCAATTATACTAAAAAAAATAAATAGTTGGTGCATATCCTAAGTCTTAAAATGTGACTGGTATCACGGCTAGAAATTAAGTTATACAGCATTTCAAAGCAATCAAGCATTTGCTGTTTGAGTTCAACCCCCAGAGGCAATGGATAATTTTTGAATTTCACTGTTAGAGCAAATCAAAAGAGGACCAAAATTTAGAGTGGATAGGGGAAAATGTGTGCATGTGTGTTGGGACTCAAAAGTTCAAAAGGAACTCTTTTCAACAGTCACATTTTGGACAAAAGGAGGAAGATGAATTTGGCAATGAGGTTAACAATGGAGAACCAGAACACTTGTAGCCAAAAAAAATCATGTTCACAAAATGCTACATTGATTCTTTGGAATAATTAATTATTTTAAAGTCTATGCACAACCAAGCAGTAGAATGAACTACCACAAACCTATCTTGCTTTCAGAAAATCTTTAAGAATTTTAACTAAGTAGGTTTAAAAGTGATAGTTTCTTCTGCAATTGCCACGAGTACACCTGATAGCAACCAATCTTTGCTAAGTGATTTCACAATGTAAAGCAGTGTTCACTAGAAAGAGATTTGAAGCCTCTGCTTCACAGCCTGTGGAAATATCTTGCCTATTACTTCACTGCAAGCACTGCAATATGAGGCAGAAGAGAATGAATTCCTACTGCATCCAACTGCATTTTATTTCCATTGAAATTCCATTCTCTACTCAGAACTTCAGAATTACATTCATACAAACCTTCTGGACCATAAAGAAGGTGAAAACAGTTAGCCTGTTTCAATAAGATAATTCTCTAGTAGTATTTCAGACCAGTTTTTGATGGTTAATTGGTTGTTTTCTTATCATTAACATGGTATTTTTATTAAAACAACATAAATTCTGGCAGCTGAAACTACATTTCCGAGCGTTACTCAGAGCAAGTAACTCTTCCGTTACTTCATTGTTATGGTCAGATTTATCTATCTTCTGAAACATTCTTTGAACATTCATTACATGAAAAATTACAAAAATTCTAGTATGAACCACAGATTTTTCAAATATGGATAACACTGCTTTAATGTTTATGAACAGACTTCTCAGAATGATGACCTTGTAAAGCAGCCCCTGCCATCTGCTGCTAATCCACCCTACTGATCAAGCACATTAAGGATGCGATCCCTTTAGTTCCATCATTCTGAGCAGACACAACTATATGGCAGGTGGAAGGGCATACCTGATGTGGAAGAATGCATCAACTCTAGCTTTGGCCAGAGTAACTTGGAAAAAGTTGCTTTTTTTGCTGGCTGGTCTTTCCCCTCTTCTCTGTGCCCCTACTGGAACACAGAAATAAAGGGGCTATTTCAGAGTCACCCAGCTGTGCTGTCAGGTCAGTACTAAGGACCTTTAGCAACTTCATCACAGAGGGGCTACCAGATCACCCGGTTCATACATGAGAAAAGTAGAGGGAAAATAAACACCCTAATGTTTAATTACACTCTCTGAAGATAGTCATCAACACACTGGCTAGGCCTAGAAGTAGGCAACAGACATCACACTCTGCCACTCCAGCTATCTCCAACTCCACATTTCCCCTAGCTACTCAGTGCTGTATCTCTGAGTCTACCTAGTACTATCAACCTCTTCTCACCCCACAACACCCTCAGGCTCTTTACAAGTTTCTGCTCTTCTCTGTACTCTCAGGTCCTGCACTCCCCTCTCACCCATATACCACACAACTTGTAGTCTGGCTTGCTGGCTAATCGAGACACACCACATGCTGTGGCCAGTTTAAAACACCTGCGGACAGCCCAGCTGCCCACTACATGAGGTTAAATGGCCAGATGGCCACTGACTGTCACCTACCAGTCACACTCATTACAGTGGATTAGGGCTGACTTTCTTCACCTCGTTTTAAGTCACTGATTTCCCCACACTTCACACAACCAATGTCTCTACTGCCACAATGTGTTTAAATGAAACCGGTCAACAGGTTCCTGATCGTAAGCATGATACTCTACTCCTTGTTTCCTTTGAAAAATGGAAGAAATACAATGAATTTGTGATCTCTAACATTACATTAACATTGTACTTGCCTTCAAATAGTAAGGTGAAAGTTGGAGAACTATTTCTACAATAAGTTTAGAAATCAACCCCAAGCTACCTAAGTAAGCTGCAGTTCAAGAAGAGCATCAAATTATCTTTCACATGGAAAAAATCTCATCTTCTACCTATATGCTACCTTTTTTTAAAATGAAACTGTAAATTCTTCCTAAGTTGAAGAAAAAATGCTAACCTCTAATGCAGAGCTAATACCTATATGCTACCTTTTTTTAAAATGAAACTAAATTCTTCCTAAATTGAAGAAAAAATGCTAACATTCACAGCATATCCAACTTAAAATGCCTTCCTTTCACGTGTAGTGCTGGAACAATTAAGTTTGTTACACTTTTTTTCACCAATGTATTACATTCCTGCAGCTGGAGTATTTTAGTAAGCTATTTGAAACACTAGTGGAAAGCTAGGAGATGAGCATTATTTAACTGGGCTAACAGTATGCAACTTCATAAATTCCCTAAGTGATATGAAGTGTTGCTCGTTCTTCATTTGCTCTGTTCAGAATCGACATAAAAGAGTAAGTTGGTTCGATTTAATTCAAACTCCAGAGGTCCAAATAAGTTACTACAACTTGAGTAATGATTTGGCATCACTGAAAAAAAATACAACAGATTACTCCTCTACTAATGCTACAAGCAGTTTTCTTGTATTGATTTTTTAAATAAATTTTTCTAATGGAAAAACACTGGTATTTCTAAATCGTCACCAGGAAGATACAGAGTATGATGCCTTGACCATCTATCTACAAAAATAAAACCCCACTGCTTTACTGTTTTTCTCCTTCCATAACAGAAACTAGACATCACTCAAAGAATACAAACATTTCACCAAACAAAAAACACACACAAAGCCCATTTTCATGTGTTGACTCAGACTGCATAAAATGCAATACAAATACAGGTGATCTTAATAAAATAGGTTATTGGATAAATTTTGTTTTGCGTAAATGTTCTCTGTGTCTATCTAAACCAGTTGCTTGAAACAAACACATAAGACTCAAAACTGTTTTTGCCTCTGTAGCTAATTTTTTGTGAAGGGTGGTATGAAGTGGTAATAGAAAGGAAAATATTTTGAAACAAATATAAAATTAACACTTTCACATACTCTGTGCTTTTATGGAATCTGAAACATTTTTTTTAATATTGCCTGTGAAGTAATTTTAAAGATTAATTCTACTTGTCAAGCGGCAATTTTCCTCCCACAAAACTAAAAAATATATTTAAAATCCTTTATTATATGAAAGACTTGTTTCAGAGGTACTGAACAGAATGAACTACATTCTGTTATATTTCAGGACAGGTGATATTTTCCTTAGACTACTCCTCTTGCTGCAGATTTCCAAGACAACCACTGCCCATTAAAAACACTGAGCTGGAAGAGTGTGAACTTTTTTATGAGAAACCAACAATTTAAACAACCTTCAGAAGCAAGTCCAACTGTCGTCTTGCCAGGCCACTGGCTTCCCTGGATATTAAACCTGTAGAGATACCAGAGAGTCTCTGTCTCACCAGCAGGGAGCTGGGCGCAATGGCAGGGGCACCACGGCCTCCACTAACCAGGTCCTTTGAGAGGGGAAGCCAGTGCTGCTTGTGTCAGCTTTATTCAGGTAGGAAGGCACAGTTACACATCCCACTGGCCTGCTGACCAACTCATGGCACACCTGTGCTTCAAAGTACCAGGCTGGGTTTCCTATTAGCTGGTCTAGTTTTCAAGCTTTGAAAAGCTTGAAAGCTTTGATTCAACGATGCTTGAATTCACTTGGATGCTTTCACTATCCAGTAGCTCTGGTTACTTTGCCCCACGACCTGAGCTGCATGTTTCTCACAGAACTTTTAAATTTGTTCAAGCCAAGAACTGAAACGCAGCAGCAGCAGATTTACTGTATTTGCTACTTTTGGCAGCCCAAAGGGCCCTACTAGTGTTCCAGGTGGCCCAGAGAAGATGAAAACTATTCTGTCTCCTCTGTGCTACTCTACCATTTCATCATCTAGAGAGAAGGGGGTTCTTTCCTGACTGAAAGTCACAAAAATAGGGGAAGAGGTATTGTGAAGAAGCAGGGACCAGGTAGGAACAGGTAAGCTAGAGGCAAGAGCAGACACCTAAAGAAGTGTCCTCAGTGCACAGTATCCCATTGCAAAAGGAACGCAGAAGTCCAATTTTTATACTATTTTACTAACACTCTACTACCAGCAGAACGTATGAAGGCTGCTTTCAAAAGGACACCCTGTACACCTAATCGCTCAACACATTCAACATAGTCCTGCTGTTTTTTTTAATAAATTCAAGTGGGAGAGGTTTGTGGAGAATACTCTCCTGATAAAGTGGTCAGTGGAGAAACAGGTCAAGTCACAATAAAAACACCAAAGTTAAACTTCCTTTTTAAACTGTTGTTTGACTTTTGAAGTAGAATCATCAAATTACTAAAAAAATACCAAACTTTGATGCTTTGAAATGTAATATTAGCAATTTTAAGAAAACAGGAAAGCATAAGCTTTAGAAAGACATAGCATAGTGGTGGACTTGGCAGTGCTAGGTTAACAGTTGGATCTGATGATCTTAAGGGTCCTTTCCAACCAAACTGATATTAGGATTCAGTGATGAAATGAAAGTAAGAGTTTCTAAATAGGCTCAACAACATACACAACATAGTTAAGGGTAAATCAGCAGAAGCGGTGGTCAGCTAATTCCTTTCAAAAAAACCAGAAGTATGCCAAGACAGTTTTAAGGATTAAGAACAGCACTTTTATATCCACTGTTGCAGAGAAAGTGACATTTAGGAACAGGATATTGTATTCATGGATATTATAATATCTTTAAATATTACCTCTTTACATTTTGTTTTTCCCCCTCATTTTAGCAGGGCTTTGCACAGGAGTAACGGTCACATTCTAGCGGCCTATCCGTTTTTAGTTTCAAAAGTTTCCTATATCTTACTAGCATATTGTCAATACATGGAAAATAATGGTTTAAGCATCTCCTTTTCCTATAAAGTATTTATTAACCGTGAAGAAACTGTTTGATAAGCTTAGCATATTTCATAGCAAGAATTCATACCTGGCATACAGTAGAATCTCTATGTCAGGATTTTGTTACCTCTGTCAGCTTCAGCAGACCCTGGCTAGCAATCGCTGGCTCAACTGCCAGCCTTGTGGTCATAGGTTTCCAAACAGGGACACATGATGGATGAAGACATGCCACTAACATTGAAGTGTTAGGTGACTGATGATACCAAAGGTGAAGCAGCAGTTAACTCAGAGGGAAGCAAGACAGACACATGGTGTGACAAACAGAGTTGATGGTGACCTGCCAAGAGGAGTTAGTAAGCTGAATTCACTGCATCCATGTAGTTAAGAATGAGAAATCACCAGAACATCCCAAAAGTATAACAACGGGTATATTTAGAGCTTTTTTTCCCCCCTCTGTGGATTGTTAGCAGCTTTAACAGTGTAATTACTATGCCAGTTATGCATCACACACTGTTAACAAACCAAAGCTAAGCTTCTACATAGTAGTATGTAAGATTAATGTACAGAACACTGCTGGTTTATTCTCTCATAACAATGTTTATGTATTGCACTACTCTGCAAAAAAAAGGGGGCTTTTCAGCTTATTAATTTCTAAACAATAACAACTGTATCAATCATTGATATGGAGAATTATCATCAGGAAATATGTAACCTACTCCAGAAAGGAAAAGCTTAGCTAAGACTTCAAGCTTTCTGTAGTAGGACACTGGTACCAGTTAAGGTATATAGTTATTTGTATGGATGTTTTATTTCTCAGTGCTGTTTAGAGTGGATATAATTTACTTAGTCTTGAATGTCCTTCACTTTAGAGTTACTTAATACAGCATGAAAGAAAGAGCACTGCCTATACCAAGTTTTAGAAAAACTGTTTAGAAAATGCTTCAATTTTATAATTGCTGTTTCAACGAAGTTTTAAACAGTCCAGAAAAAAAAAAAAAAAAGTGTTTCTCTAGTGTCTATTTATGACAGTTACCTTTTGTTGTTTGCAGAACTCCCATTTCTTGTGTAGGTGATACAACTCTAAGAAAAGGGGCTTGAAACCTCTGTGATGCATAAATTTTTTAGTAAATATATTAATGACCTATTTCTAACTTTATCCCTCCTTCTTTACCCTCACAACAATCTAAGAGCTAGTTGGTTTTGCTTAAGTCTTGTGCAAATGGAGGAGAGGTGGAATAGGGTAAGAGCCAAACCAGCTTATAACAGTTAATAGTATTAGACAAGCATATTAATTCATGCTAGAACATAAAAATTAAAACATACTGCTGGTTGCACATTTGTTTTACTTACCAGATTTGTAATCTAATTTTCTTTCCTCTTAGCTCTACTGTTTTGATTTTAAAATCAACACCTATAAACAAAATACAGTAAACAGAAAAGGAGGAATAAGAAGCAAAAGTAATGAGGGTGTAATTATTATTATTTTTTAATAGCTTTTATTTTATTTTTTTTAATATCAATTTTTAACAGTCTGAACAAGCAGAAAGGTTTGCACCACTATAGGTCACTTCAGGGACATAACAGGGATTTGACAACCACTATATTAAGACTGTGAGCCACCCATTCTGGCAGCATCACAACATGAACCTTTGTGCAACACTTCCAGCAGCAGGTAAACCCAACGTAACAGTAAAACAACAGGCACAGTTTGTTTCTCCCTTACTCGCATGGGCTGTCAAGGACAAGCCTGCCCTACTTCCAGCTGGCACCCATGCCCTGGAGGCATGGAGCAAAACCAATCCCTCCACATCAGTTTTGCTGTCTGTGAAGTGGGAGCAATAAAAATCTGATTTCCAGGCTGGATGCTTAGCATCTGTAAAGCACTTTAGTAGAAGTGCTAGAATGGTGGTTGGTTTATCAAGTAGTTTGCCAACACTGCCATTCTTAATTTCTGTAAGTATTTATAAGCAAATTGCTTAGATTTAGAGAGGGTATTTTTAAAATTTATTTTATACCTGTATGATACTTTTATCCATCATCTCAAAACTCCAGCCACATTTTGAATGCATGCTAAATATCAAAGATAGAACCATGAAGACCTTGTTAAACAGAGAGATTTTACTTTTATTAAAAATAAAATAATGCTGGCAATCAACATATAAGACATACTATGGTCAAACAATATCTAGACACAACGGATTACCAACTTAACCATGGAAATATTTCAGCATATAAATGTTCTAGAATATCACAACAATTGTAGATTGTGAACCTCTTCATTTAAGTACACATTTGTACAAAGATTTTTTCTTCACTTCCTCTTTCTGAACACCATCTCTCCTAACAGTGCTAAAACCAAAAAAGGAGAAATAAAAAGACAAGAGAACACGGTTCAGACTAGTACACTTAAACTCACACAGAAGTGTAAAAGCACAGTGTGTTGGAAAGTCTTTTTCTATTTCACATACAATCAGATACCAAGGATAGGGATGAAAGTGAAGAGGAAAAAAAAAATTTTATTTTCTCTAACAAAACCTACTCATTTTCCTAGTGTCTACCTTTGGTAAAAGCTGAATGTCCCTGTTGATATTATTAAAGTCAAGACTGGACTTGACTTTGACAGAAAGGGCAGAACTTGGCCTTATGCTAAGTTTTCAAAACTCCTGAAAATTTAGGAGGGGGAAAATAAGGTGCATTTAGTATCCTGAAAACCAGTTACACATTGCTGACTTAGCATTTACATCAAAATGCTTCTAAAGACAGTTATGTCTGTCAAGTTGTTAGCATGAGACAATAAAATGAACTAAGTTTTAAGAAACTAGAAACACAACTAATTTAAATGTGAAGGATACATTCAGTTTATTTTAGCAGATTGCCACTGTTCAGCTAGGCTAAATAAATGAAGGATCATTGATCTGCATTCCCCTAAACAGAAATCACTTCAAGCAGCTTGGAGTTGCACAATACATAGCAATAAAAGTACTGGTTACCACCACGACACGTTTCCTTGTTCTCCATGCCCTTAAAAGTGTCTAGCACACTTATTCACCAGTTCTTGCAGAAGCTATTCATGACATTTGATGTTTATACTTCACTCATCAAAATGTAACCCATTCAAACACCCAGTAGGGTTCTTTGGCAACACAGAAGCTAAAGCATTAAACAGATTTGCACTATTCAGTCCACAATTTCAATAGCAATTTTCAAATATTCATATGCAAATTGAGAAAAATATTAGAATTATTAAAATGTCAGAGCATTTATTAATACTAACTTTAAGAAATATTTTTCTCAACTTTTGAAAAACACCATCTGTGTTAGAGTAAAAGCAGAAGTGAAATTATTCAGCTATGTTCTACTATAAAAAAATGTGGGAATTAAGAATTATTGTAATTACTGCTTTTCTATTAACATATTTTCTGGGTTTTAAGGAAACATGCATCCATTTATATTGTTAAAAGCCATTTCTCTGCACAATTCATTTAAACTATAGTACGGTCACAGCTTTGTCTACAAGACAGCAACTTTACTTGCTAAGGACAGAAACAATATTAACTGAAATTGCTTCAAACCTCTCTCAAGGAAATCTGAATATAATTGCACACACATCTCAACCCCAGTTCCCAATCCTTCCACCATCTCATTCACAAAATACTACACAATTTGCCATACATTTGAGAACACAAGTTAAAACACAAGGTAAAAAAAAAATAAAATATCACTTTTCTCTCCAGCAGAAATAAATAGAAAAAAACTTATGATGCTCATACAGGTGAATATACTTGTCTTAAGCTAACTATTACACTTGTAGAGGAGCTTGATCTGAGCAGAAAGTAGAGTTCTGCTGTGTAAAGCCATGTTGTTGCACACACACAAAAGTTTAAACCATCTCTGATCCAAAATTGTGTATTGAAAACCAACACAGGAATTTAATGTAAGTTTCACTAACTCCATGAACAAAATACTTTTATTTTTAGATAAGTGGTTTATATACTGCTGTCTTACACAAACCAAGGAACAAACAGGTTTTGATGTATTTTTAAAAGGAAAAATAAATCATGACCTATGGAGAGAAAAATCCAAGTGTTCCAGTAAAGTAAATTTTCAACTCTGGACTTCCTGGGACTAGTAGGCATAACACAGGAATGCAATGAAGTAGAAAAAAGCCTACCTATCACTGAGATGGTTTCAAAATAAGTAATGTATCAACAGTATTGTTACTTCAAAGGCAGATATTTCTAATAATCTTACTGAAGTCACACCATGAAACATTTCCCTGTTAAATTTTGCAACAAAGAATGCAAATCAGTAACAGTTTCAGGAAAGTATGTTCTTCTACAGAGCTGTTTGAGTCATTTAACACTTAGGTCAGATAGCTTGCCAGAACTAAGCAAAGGTTGTTCAACTGCTCTTTATAATTAGTAATGCTCTGTAAGCACCAACACAATACCAAAAGCTCAATGTCTGCCAATAGTGAAGGAAAAAATCTGGCAACTTCCCTTTTGCACATGAAGGAACAAAATCCTAAGCCTGCCAGGTTCATTACCATGTTTCACCTTAGACCTGGCAAAGGCAGTGCTTTGAGTTTACATATGAAGTAGTAATTTAATTAAAACAATATAGTAATTTGTTTTCCACTTAAATTTCAAGTATAATCTTGAGTTAAGAAAAAGTTATATGAAATAAATTATTTAGCTTGATCCACATCAATGAAAATACCTAAAGGAAAAGTATTGCTATCCATCCATCCAGTTACTCCAGCTATTAATAAATAGACAAAAAACTGTTAATATTGTTTGGAAGTCAACTGGGAAACTAACACTTTCCACTATTACAGATAAATACCTATTAGTTACACATGACACCGAGAATGCCAATTGCACCCTTCCATTCACAAACACAGAAGATGTGGACCAACTGCTGCAAACTCCCATTATTCAGCAAAATAACTGAAAATAGCTCTGTTCAGAATAAGACAGACATGGCATTAAGTCTGCTCTTAGAAGTGGTGTGGTTTTTTTAAGGGAGTGCTTTGTGACACTACACTATTGATGTCAGCAATAGCTGATGAACTCTTCAAGGTCCTTGCTTCAACAAACTCTTAACTGACAGTTGCTCTGAGATGTGTCTTTCTCAGTCTTGTTAAACCTAATTCTAAGACTTGTTAAGTAGAAGCACACTGACAGAATTTTTTTCATTTCTCAGTCTTGTTAAACCTAATTCTAAGACCTGTTAAGTAGAAGCACACTGACAGAATTTCAGGAGTTTCATGAGTTTCATGCTGTTAGTAATGATACTGGTAGTCCTTGCAGTTACTACTCCCTTTAGGCAGATCCCAAACCACAATGAATATCCAAGTTAAACGCATTTGTGCACTTATTGTGAGCTCAGTCCCTCCAGAGGCTGATGTAGTCTTGAAGATCTATAGCTGCACAGAGGTGTGCTAGAACATGTGCACTGACAGACACTAGCCCTGGCAAAATACTCTGCTACGCATAGCTACAGCAACCTGTCCCCCACCATTTGCCCTCAGTTATGGCAGATATCCCCATAAAGAATGTCACCAACAGCTATCACAAACAAGCTACTTAAGCACCTTGTGTCCTCACTCATGCAAACAGAACAGCGCTCATGATTTGATATATAGTTCAATAAAATAAGAAATCAATAATTACTGTTGACAACTACATTAAATCTGAACAACACATTAAAAAAAAAAGGAATGTAAAAGGCTCTCTCTAGCTGCTACAACACCTGCAAACTATTGCTGTTTTGCCTGCTGGCTAATTTAGTGTCACAGAATAACCGAATGTACACGTGCCTGTCAAGCAAGCACGTGCATGTGCTTAAGATCATAGTGAAGCATGCCCTTTGCTAGGTCACAGTGATGTGAGGGAAACCAAAATGCTTGTCACCATCTCCCCTGCCATTAAAAAGTCAGTTTGCTCTCCATACATCAGGCTTGCACAGATCAATGGCAATCACTGCATTCCATTTTTCTAAAACTATTACACTCACAACAAATAAATACTGACCTCCACCTCTCCTTTTATGAATTAGAGGTGTGCATTTTGGATGTCAGATTTTTACGCCCATTTTTCTCTGGAAATGCCTTTTTTTCAGGAATCCCAACACACATCCCATACATATGTAAGAACAAAGATACAAATCCAGTCTCTGGTTTGGGTTTCTGATTTTGTATCTAATAATAATTTCAAAGTATACTGACTCAGTTTGTCCTGACACTTAAAACTGCAAATGAGCTGCTGCCCTCTCCCCCTAGGATAAAGACATGCCAAATAAAGTATTAAGCTCAACAGCACTTACACAGCATGTTGAAGGTAAGCTTACCGGTGAAGGACCTTCAAAACTTTCTACAAAGCACAACGTTTTTGTTAATGGCACATGA